ACAAATAATTTTTTAGTACAACATTTTTTTCAACAGGATTTAATATTAATTAAATGAAAAGCGAAAATCGCATTAACAACTTCATCATCACCAAATCTAGTGATTGATTTATCGTGATTCAACAATAAAAGAATCCCAGCATTCTTTGAAGATTTAAAAGTGAAAACAAAATTAAAATTTGTACCAAAACCTGTCTTATGTAAAAGTCGTTCTATGCACCAATATTGATCAACCATGTTGTTTCAAACTCAGACACTAAAGAAAACTCAAGTATAATATTATTGTGTATTATTATTATGCGTAGTCAACTAACTTCAAAGTCAAAATCGAAAAACACAAACACAACTTGTATGTGTGTAAAGGTTGCTCTACATACCAATATTGACCTGCCTATGTGTTTGCACTAAAAACAATTCAAACGCATTTTATTTTTTTCATTTTATGAAATGTAATAATATTGGTAATAGTTTGAAACTTTAACTACTTGCCATTTTTACAATATAAGATTTTAGTTTATCAGTTTTCCCTAGAGGAACATCAGCCTTTGTAAATGCTTCAATTATTTGCAATGTTGATTTTTTCATAATCATTAGTAACAAAAGAAGTCAAAGATCTTTGTAAGGGTTGTGATGTATTTTCTATGTGATTATCAACAACAGACTTCTTTTCATGACTACAAAAACGATACATTAATTTTCCTGATTCAACAACGTAAAAGTTATGGGCATTTTTTCCAGAGACATTCTAATTCAGTAACCACCGGGTATTATGTGTTCCAACGATTTATTCCGGAACACTGGAACAATGGTAATGGAATACATAATTCCCAGATTCCGAATTCCATTTCATAATAACACTAATTAAATCACGAAATATTCGAAGAGTTGGATCAAACCTGGTAAGGAAAAAAAATAAAAAAATTCATCATGAATTTTTTTTGAATGATTTTAAAATGGGGATTTGTAATCATTCAATAAACAATTGCCATTTTTTGATACAAGTTTTAGGAACTGACCTTGAATTTTCCAATTCATTAACAAACCAGGTTGCAAATTTAAGGTGAAATCCTTTCCTCTTTAAATATTGCCTACGCAGTTTTTAGTTGGTACAACCACCGACTGGTAATTGGTTTTTGATATTGGAACAGTGTCCAATACAGGGTTTAAATTGTTTCCGATTTCATGTTTATTAGATTATCTTTATCACTGTCTTTATGCGAAAATGATAAGCCAAATTTAAGAGATTGAAAGTGTGGGTGGTCATGAAGTGATAATCCAGAAGGTGAGTTAAGCTTTCCAAATGCCACATTTTCAAAATGGCTAACTGCAACATGCATCGAATGCGTACCACAAGGAATTCTAAAAGCTCCGGATTGAGATCTCAGATTAAACACTATAACAGCATCTGGTTTTATTTCAGACATATATAGGCAGTATTATCTGTAAGCCAAAAGTTGCACTTTTTAGTATCAAAATTATATTCATTGCATGTTTCAATTACAGTATTTGCAACTTCTACTACAGCACATCAATCAATGTCTTTCATTTTTGCCAATGTAAGTGTTGGTTCTTTCCTTATCATTAAGTAATATTAACATATAATAATAATATGACATCATATCAGTATTGATTTTTTATAGTTACCATCAACAATTAATGATTTCATGGATTATTGGCAAAATTGTCTTTACCAAATCAAATTATTAAGAAAAATGTTACCGAAGCAATTAATCTTAAAAGAGATGTTGACGGGTAAAATTAATGATGACGATATTAATTTATTAATTTAATTCAATTTAATTAATTATAAAATTAGTTTTCATGTTGATAATATTGGAAATTTGGTTAAAAGTAATGGCAAACAATTGTTTTACCATGTACACCAAAGGGATTCTTAATTATTAAATCACATTTAATATCTTTTATACTTTTGATTTTAATAAATTAATAAAATTTAAAATTTAAAATTAGGTGTCGAAATGGCTGGTAAACATGCTGTTGTAGTTGAACACTGTGAAACAGTGATAAGATTAAAGATTAATAATATTGATGTAATATATATGCAATAAATAATAATAAGGGATCTTTTACTTTATTATCACATAAAAATGCAACAATTACTTTTAAAACAAAAGGTGCAATAGTAATCGATGTTGGAACAAATGCTATTAAAGGTTAATAATATATAATATTCATTATTATTTTAATAAAGAACAAACACGTACACATTTAAATGTAAATATATATTTATAGATTTTACAAAAAAATAAAGTGTAAGATGGTGCATCACAAGTAACAACATATATATAACTCTTGTACTTAGTGTGTAGGTTGCAATGTTATTAAAGAACACAATGGAAAGCGCAAAGTGATTTTGGAGAAATGATAAAGAAAAATATCTAAAAAATGATTTATTATAAAGATTAAATAACAGAAAATTGAATACTACATATATATATATATATCTAATTTTTTATGCTATGGATTAATTTTACACTACCCACCCGCTGACCAATTATATTATTACAGTTAATTAATAAAAAATTATTATAAAGGAGGTACAATGACTTCATTATATAAATTTCTTCTTTTTCCTTCTATGAATTGATCACAAGCTGTCTGTATTACACCTATCCAAGATGAAGGTTCGATCACTGTACTCCAATGATTATGCCAATGATAGGCATAAGAACCACGAAAGAAATTTTCTATTTTACGAAGCGACAGAGGTGTGACTTTTTCTGTTAGGTTGACACCAGGAAATTCATCTTTAACGAAATCAGCCTCAAATGCCTGATCTAATCTATTAAGATTTGGTGATAATGAACTGCTTTGTCTACCATCATTCCTCAACCACAAAGGATCAAACAACCCAACTGGTAACATGTAAAGTTTTTCATTGAGTTCTTTTGTTGTTGTAGTATCATTTAATAAATATTTTTTGACCCTGAATGGATGAAAATCTAGATTATTTTTCATTGCACCTTTTATTACCGCTGTTGCAGTAGCTGAATTTTTCCAAAGTCGTAGTACAGCGGTGTTGTATTCATCGAGGTAGCTCCAACGATAAGAAAATTCGAAATTTGAATGATAAAATGGCCTCATATCACGTAATAATAATACATCTGCATCTACATACATGCCACCGTATTTGTAAAGTACAACAAATCTTACCAGGTCACTAAATGATACAGTTCTTTTACCCTTAAGCATATTCTCCCATCCATTAAATAAATCAATTGAAGAAAGTTGTGTTTTTGTATCCCAAATTTTCAATTCAATATAATGTGGTATAAATCTAGTTAACAATTTCATATTTTCATTGCTTGTTAACAATTCCATATGTTCACTACTCGTTAAATTTTGTTCATTATCTGCCTGTATCCAGACATAAAGTTTAGAACATTTGAGTGGTTGACTATATATAAATGCCTTCATCATTAACGCAAGTTTATCACTTATGTTTCCTTTCCAAAATACATGAAAAAGCATAATATTTGATAAAGATGTTTCTCGCTGTCCATTTTTTACATGTATAATTTTATCGGCCTCGTGCTTATCAGTATTATCCTTATCGTTAACACATGATGGTGGTTTTAATGCACCTTCAATCCTGTCATATGGTAGGTTATAATTCGTTTCGTATATATCAAGATACTTTAGACAATCTTTTATCGGAATTGTTCGCCAGTCTCCACAATTTTTCTCGACATTTTCTACTTTAACAATAAAATCATCTCTAGGTCGTTGTCTAGCATTTAATAATAATTGTGGTAAAACAAATTTAGAAATCTCGCTTGATGTTGTTGGAGGTTGTTGTTTTAAGAGATCTTGGTTAGTATAAAATGTATATAAGAATTCACATAAAACTATTATTACAACTAATATATAAAATACCCGACTTCTACAAAAAAACAATAAAAAATTTAAAATTTTGGCCATTGTCTTATTTATGAAAAAAAAATTTTTTTTTGTTTATATTTATTTAAAGCTTATTAAAACTTACTATAAATGGAGATCAACTGTGGTATCACAATTTATATTATTATTATTATAATAAATAAATTTCCATTTTGTGCAAGACATCGGGAAATTTAATTCATTCTCCCCAATAATTGCATAATTACACAATGTAACTAACTCTGTTATATTTTTAATAATATCAAAATCTCTCATTATTTTTACTAAAGCTCCATGTATGGCTCCGAACAAATAAAATCGAGTCGAATTCAAAAACTGTATTTGATTCGATTCGATTCGAATTTTTTAAATTGATATTAAATTTTAAAATAAAATGGGTGTGGTTGTAACTAGAATAAGTCAAACCTCATTTCAACAAATCTATGTTCCCATAAAAAATTATGTACAGAATAGGTACTAGTAGTGAATAGATGCGGAATGAATACATACGGGAAAAAGGACAATAATAATAACGTGTTTGAAAAAAATCTACATTACAAAGAGTTTACTATTGTTTCTCAAACTTTAAATAACAATATCATTATGCAAAGTGGGTATGGTTTCTAATCCAAAAAAGTTTTACATGGATAGTTACATATAGAATTGCTCTTTTTCATGCCATGGTCCTTTTCTATTGTCCGATCCGCATTTAATACGGAAAACACGTAGAAACATTTATATTTACTCCATACCGTTTCCGTATGTTTAGGTACAGAAAAGTTCATCAGAAAAAGAACAACATTTAATTATTCAATCAACACCTAAAGCTTCAGATATTCAATATGACCAACTTAAATTATTATCTACTGTGATATCTGCTAAAGAACATGATTATGACTTGGAGCACAAGCTTATCTCATTACTTCTTAAAAAAAAAGGCTATTAGATTATTACGGTACAGATCCCTATGATCAATTAATTGCTTATAGTAACAATTGGTCAGCTTCAAAATACTAAAACAAAAAAAAATTATATCATTTTAAAAAAGTTAACCAATAAATTTTATTGTTCATGACTCAAGCTTCAAAACTTATCGGCTAGTTTTTTCTTAAACAAAAATTGGCAGAGCCTTAACATTTTGAAAATTCCAAATTTTGTTATACGTTTAAGAAATCGAGACTAAGTAAACTTCGTGTAACAAGTTTTTTTTCATAGAATGTTTTTTACAACATATTTGTATTATTTATTTCCCTTTTTTTAATAATAAAAGTTCTTTACGAATAAAAAAGTTCAAACGAACAAAGAAAATCATCCCCAAATTTGGTCATATAATTCAAAAATATTGTGACACGAAAATTATTGTTGCAGTATCTGAGCACAACTCTCAAAAAAACTGACAAAAAAATTTTTTTTTAAATGAATTGACTCCCTTTTTAAAGCCGAATTGAATAGTGGTGGATTTTTTTAAAATCTAACATGTGCATCGCATCACATGATATTTCAAAAATTTTAACTTGAGTATAGATGATCTGCACCGACTGTACTTGATGAGGATCCTAGCCAAGATTATGATATAGATTTGGATCAAGAAACTCCATCAACAAACAAAAGAATTTATCTTATGATAATTTAAATATTAAAAGGTCAGAGGCTGTTATCTCATAAACAAACAGCAGAAACTCAGCATGATAATGGTAATAAACAAAAATAATTTAAAAGATATTATTATTATTATGCTGAAGATGAGGATAATCAATCTGAACAAATACAATCCAAAAAACATCATTATGATTTTGACACTGAGGATAACCAATTTGGGGAAGTACAATTCAAAAAATCTCATTATAATGATAACAAAAGTTATCAAAAGATTAATACTTTAGAATTGGCTTCTACAAAAAATTTAACTATTGAGGAAGTAGATTTTTTATACATTTTATAACTAAATATATTAAGAATTTATTTAACTATTCACTATAGGTTACTAGTGAACATGTTTCTGATATGTATGAGGAGATGAAAATCATGTTTATGCATGCGTAGTAGAAATCCTGGTTCGATACAGTGATAGCTGTTGAAAAAGTACTGTTACCAGCATAAGGAAACAATAATGATAATATCAAATTTTAAAAAGGCATGGTCTTGATTATTTGGCACAGGATTTAATAGTGATCTTAAATTTTATGCAGTAAAATATATAAAAACAATCAAGTTTTTTTCTCCCATAAATTGTTTTAGAAAAATAATTATAAAATTATTTGAATAATGTCACAAGAAATACCAAATGAAAATCAAATATCATCCTATGTTGCTGATACCTTCTTTAAAGATATCTTCCTTACACGATTGGTGTTACTAGGGATGATGAATCATTTAGTAATCCAAGTGTTATTAATCCTTTAAAGACATTTTTAAATAAAGCACCCATATTACATGTGGCTCTTGAAATATCCAGATTAAGTAATCCCAAAATTGACAATCATTACACATTACAACAAATAAAGGAATTGGATTATTTAACTAACAATCTGATTATTCTGAACACATCTCAAAAAAATCGTTGCTAATAAAATTAACCTGCCAACATTGGTTCCATTAAGACATCTTACATGTAGATCACACTGATAATATATATCAAAAATGTAAATGATTAATTATTGCTAACTGTTAATACAATCAGTCACTCACTATTAATTACGATAGAAATCCTTTCATAATGTCTTTTGAGTATACATGGGATGGTAATTACCTAATTACCATAATATGTAATTTGTAATTATCATAATTAATTACCACTGTCACCGATTAAATTTGTGAGAGCATATTTTTAATTGGTGATAACAATTATTTTTGTTTTGTGTGGATCAGAATGAATAGGGATCAACGAATTGATTTTGGTATTAGCGAATAATTTTGTTTAAAGAAGATAAAAGTTT